AGCCAGGCCCGCACCCGAGCCTCCCGGGGTTGCCGCACGGTCTCGCTCGCAGTTCTCCGACCAGCAACTGTCTGTCCGACGTCCCCTTGCCCTTGCCCCAGCGCTCTCACCGCCGGGGCTGCGCCGCGGGTGAAACAAAGCTACTGAGGACGGACAGGGCTGGGCGGGGTGTGCCCCCGAGGGGCGGCAATCGTCTCCCTCTGCAATCCCACAGCGACAGCTGCTGCCTCCTGCAACACCTGGGAAAGCAGGTTCAGAGTGGTGCAACGCTAGCCTAAGGTGCTACAGCCAGAGGGCTGAAGCCCTCTCCCACGCCGGGCTTTTCAAAACCAAAAGCTCTTTCTTCTCAGCCTCCAGAATTTTCTGAATTACTAGTCTCTGACCGTCCACATGCACCTGGACTCCTCCTTTGGGGCCCTGTTAGAGGTTGAATTGAGTCTCCAAAATATTACCTCTATGCCTTTGGTTAATTAATGGTAGTGCGTTATGATTCCTGAAGGGCGGGTTTTACACATTGATATATTTTGTGTCATAAAAGTGATTAAACAAACGAACAAAAAGCCGAGATGGGCTACAATAGATGTCAAGCCACAGGAACCTGGAAGCAGAAGCTAAGACAGTGGTTCTCAACCTGTGGGTCGAGACCCCTTTGGGAGTCAAATGACCCTTTCACAGGGGTCCCCCGATTCATAACAGTAGCAAAATGTCAGTTATGAAGTAGCAACGAAAATAATGTTATGGTTGGGGGTCAGCACCACAGGAGGAGCTGTCTGAAAGGGTCGTGGCATGAGGAAGGTTGAGAAAGAAGCACTGCTCTAAGGAGACAGAGAGCCCGAGTGAAAAGAATCATCTTAAACTCAGAATAAATCTCTGTTCATTAAAGCCCCTCACTTGTCCAAATTCACAGCCACCCCTTGAGGGAAAGGATCTCTGTGTCCACAGGGAAGGCCCTTGTCAATTTTCGGTTCTGTTCCCTCCCCAACTATCCCCCTAACCACGTGGTATCGCTACTCCCACTCCTGTTCTTGAGGGGTTTATATGTCCTGGATTCCATGTGTTGAGAGCTCTTATCTGTACCAATGTGTGTTCTCCGGTCTAGCCAGATTTGTAAGGTGGAACTGGGTCATGGTAGTGGTGGGTAGGAAGCATTCAGGAACTAGAGGAATGATGTGTGTTTCTTCGGTGCTGTATTGCACCTTGGTTGAATTATCCCTTCCTTATAACCCTTCTGTAGGGGGATATCCAATTGTCTACAAATGGGGCTTTGGGTCTCCACTCCAAACCCCCTCATTCACATCAATAAAGTTATTTGTTTGGGATCTTCTGATACTTGATCCAGTCAACACCTCATGATCACACATGCTGGAGTGCTTCTTCCATGTGGGTTTATTTGCTTCCCTGTTGGATAGCTGCTTGTTTAACTTCATGCCTTTAAGATCCCAGATGCTCTATAGCTGAGCACTGCTCTCGTCACCACATTTGCTTACGTACCCATTTTGCCTTCAGAGATCTTGTTGGGAAGGTGAGTATCAAAGAGTACACAGAGACGACCAGACCTCCTGGTCTGGTAGAGACTGGTGGAACCCCTGAGACCGGAACCCTCCCACACCCTTCAAACCTGGAACGGAGCACCCCTCCCCGTTACCTCAGCCGAACAACACACACAGGCCTATCAAGGGATGGATGGCAGCCGAGAAGAGAACGAGAACGCATACAAGACCAAGCAGGCAGGATTGGCCAACAACAAAGCTCGGAAGGCAGAAAGGAGCTGAACAGAAAGACAAATGGAAGTGGGGTGGGCACTCAGGGAGAAAGTGGTTAAGAATGTTGTTACGTTGAAAGCATTGTAACTAATGCCTGAAACAAAGTATATATGAATTGCTGGATGGAAAACGAATTTTCTCTGTAAACTTTCACCCAAACCATAATAAAAGAAAAAATGCTTACCATATTAAGTAGCTTAAGAAGTGTTCTTGTTACAATTAAGTGTATGCCTTTAGTTCCAGCCATCAATAACTATGGACTTAATCTCTGAAGACAGCATGCAGACTAATCAAGGAATGTTTTAAATATGAATTCCTTCCCCAAACCAAAACAAATATTAGGGAACAAACCAATTTGTTTGCTTCAAATCATGCAGGTTGAATAGGTGAAACCCACTCATACACCAAGAAATAGTTTAGACGCTTGTTGTACATTATGTCCAGAAGTTTTTGTTATTTTTAACTTTTATTTTGAAACAATTATAGATCCACATGGTAGAGAGAACCGATAGATTTCATACCCAGGTCCTCCCATGGTCACCTACTGCATAATTAGAGTGGAATATCAAAACCAGAGAGAGGGCATCAGTGTGTGTGTGTGTGTGTGTGTGTGTGTGTGTGTGTGTGGCTCTTGCCACATGGATTGGTTCCTGTAACAGTCACTGTCATGTGGCCTTGCTTCTGTAGTTACTCTGCTACTCCTGCCCCCTGGCCACCAGCCCATCCCAGACAACCTTAATCTCGCCTATAGCCTCCAATTTTGTTATTTTGGGGGTGTTATATAAATGGATCATATAGGATATAACTTTTGGGGATCGACTATTTTACAAATCCATCCAAGCTGTTACATGTGTATCAGTAATATTACATAATGTGAACAGAAGGCAGTCAAAACGTATCGCCTAGTGTATGATTCCATTTATGTAAAATGCCCAGAACCCCAGACCTGGGAGACCTGGGACTGGGAGAGGGTGGGATGTTAATGGCATTGGGGTTTCTTCGTGGGATGATGAAAATGTTGTGCTGATGGCACAACCTGGTGGATATTCTAAAACACCTCAAACTGCTCATTTGAAATGAGGGAATGGTCTGAACATGATCTCTTAATAAAAGCAAAAGCCCCTGACCCGGAGTCTCCTCTCAGTCAGTAGCACTGCCCAGAGAGGTGCCCGGCATATAAGGAAGCAGTTGCCACATCTTTCTGGCACAGACTGCTTTCAATCACCAGGCCAGCGCTTTAACCGCAGAACCACCAGAGCAAGCCCCCCAGCCCTCTCTGTATTTGACAAATTTAAATCAAATACCAGAAGCGGGTTCAAAAAGTAGGTGGAACAAATCCATTATCTTTTAATTCCATTTTCCTACGAACTTTTTGAAGCTCCCCAATACGACTGACCTCCCAGCCGAGAAACCAGCCGCGTGAAGGAGCAAGCTGTGCGGGAGCGGGGGAGCGGCATGGCGGGCAGGGCTACGGGCCCCGCTGGGGCAGCACCCTTCCCTTCCAGCGCCCTCCAAGCTGCACACAGCCTCTGCTCAGGCATTATTTCCCTCACACTGCAAAACTGCAGAATTCTCCAGAACGTGTGGCCTTAGGTCTATAGAACGATCACAGAAATACTCGCGGACGCACCAAGCAGCTTCAGAAAAAGGGCGTTCTTAAGATTTTTTTTTTTTTTTCTTAAGATTTTTTAATCGCGTGTACCCTTCCCCAGTCCAGAGGGGCCCCGATCTGGAATTTTGCGTTACTCATTTCTTCACTAAGGTTTCCTTTTTCAATCTAGCAACATTATTACTCTTTTAATCACATCCCCATACACATACAGTAAGCAAAAATTAAAACCTAGTTTCAGACAAGGTTGGGGTTTAGGGTCCAGCCAGCCATGCACCGCGCCTAGTGGTGGCTCAGGGACATCCCGTGACTAGTAAGAGATTTCCGGATTCAAAAGGCTGGTGACTCAGACTTATTTACATACCCACAATGCACTTCACAGTGAACAAATTTTTAAAAGGAAAACATTTCAATTGTACTTAAGTTAATTTTTATAAAACTCATGGGATTTTATTTAAAAAATGTCTACCCATTTGTCTGTGGGCACTTGGGCTTGGTGTTCTCTAGACACCATCAGTGAAGTAAGAGTTTTTGCTATTAGAGTCCTGAGTTACAACTAGAACTAAGCATACTCTGGTTTCTCTTCAGATCGCATAAATCTTTCGCCTTTTACTAAAGATTTCCGTGGAGAGGAACAACTCTGAGTCTTAAACCAATTTTTTGAGGCCTTGCTTATGCAAGGCTACTTAAAAGTTCAAAAACAGATCTTGTCTTTGTCCTAGCGTTTTCGGCTTTAGCCGGCTTTTGAATTTTAAACGCACTGAGAAATGTAAGCTAACAGAACGTAGACATTTACGCCACGATCGGTCGGAAAGCCATATTTAGCTGCTGGTTCCGTTTTATGGTGTGAGTTAACGTATTCTAGTGATAATTAATGTGGTTTATGCTCAGCTCTTCCGGGCCAATGTTTGGAATTCCTGGAGCTTTCTGCTTTGCTCAGAGACAAGCATGGTGTTACCCGAATGATCTTCTTCTAGAGTTGCTTATGGTTCTGTCCTTATTT